AGCAGACCCCACTGTTAGGATCCCTGCTGCAGACCACGGGCAGCCAAGGTCCTCTGTCCTTCCTCCCCCATGGTGCTTCTAAGCCATCAGCGGGCAGAGCACTGTGTGATTGGGGGGCTCCTGGTCACGCCGGAACAGTCACCATAACTCAAGGGACCAAGAAGGCAACTCCTGACTTCACTGAAAGGCAGGAGAGACCACATTTGGCTGGAGAAGGGGCAATCCCAGAGGGCTTCTCAGAGGAGGTGGTATTAAGTTGGCTCTAAAGGATCAATAGGAGTTCCGAGATCATGAGATCTGTGAGGCCACTGTCTAGCTGCTACTGGCCTTGGGCAAGTCCCTCACCTGGAGGCAGGCAGGTAAGCAGCACATGCCTCAGGCAGGTGTAATACAAGACAGAGCAGTGGGGTCCTGGCAGGGACTGGAGAGTGACACCCAGGCAGGCATCCCAAGCCAAAAAGAATGAGTTCACATGGGGCCAGAGTGGCAACACTGCAACTACTCCGTTTCCTCATCAGTCAAATGGGGATAACGTTCATTCCCAGCGTACACGATGGTCGGGAAAAGTAAATGAATTAACGCACATGAAATACCTCAGCAGTGCCTGGAACACTGTAAACGCTCGATATACGAGCCTTTGTGAGAACACTAAGTGGAGACAGGGAAGGGGGCATGCAGGAGGGACAGAGAGAACAGAGGAGCAGAGGGGGACCCCCAGGCAGGGCCCAAGGAACAGTGAGAGACCCCACTGGGGGGCAGGACAGAGCAGCTGGCTGAGCAAGACCCCTTTCCTGGAAAGGGCAAGACCCTGGAGATAGGTCAACCAGGGCTCCAACCTGGCCTTGCTACTTGAGGCAGTGTGGCTTCCGACAAGTCCCTTCACCACCCTGAGCCTCGGTCTCCGCATCTGTAAAATGGGGAAATGACAAAAGTACCTTCCTCCAAAGACTGGCATGAGAACCAGATGCCATATACAACAGCACACAAAGTGCTTAAAGCAGACCTGACATAAAATTATCAAATCCAGCTTAGAGTGGGGTTTCTCAAACTCAGCACTACTGATGTTCAGGGCTAGATAATTCTCTGGTGTGGGGGGCTGTCCTGTACACTCTAGGCTGCTTAAAAGCATCCCTGGTTTCTACCCACTTGCCTCCAGTTGTGACAACTGCAACATCTCCAGACACTGCCCAATGTCCCCTAGACTAGGGAATCAGTAAGCCGGAAAGACAGAGGTGCTTAAACACTGAAGGTCTCGGCAAGGCAGGATCAGTCTGGCCTCAGTTTTTCCATCAGTAAAAGGGACACAATGACCCTTCCTTTCTTATAGGGAGGATCCCAGGAAAGCAGCGATGTGGGAGAGAGAGGCCTTTGCAAGCTGCAGGCTGGCTGCCCCTCTCACCGTCTCTTGTTTTCTGGTCTGCTAGAGGCCGACTTGTGCCTTGGGAAGGGGGACACTGCCTGAATTCTGGAAGTCACTCTGAGCACATCCTTAGGTGTGGAAGGAAGGGACAGGAGGGCAGGCGCTGCTTCTATTCGCCATGGTAACCCCAGATGGACCACAGTGCTTGGCAAACAGCAGCTCTTACTAACTGGTGGGTGAGGCGGCGGGCAGTCACGGCACCGAAGCACGCGGCTCAGGGCACGCAGGGGCGCACGAGGGAGGCACTGCAACACTCCAGCCACCTAGCCAACTCCCCACCGGCCGGCCAGATGCTGTTTCCTGTCTGCAGAAGCCAGCCCTGCCCTTTGAACTCCTGTTTCCTGAGCCCCTCTCCCTGCTCCAGGGTCTGGGAGGGGGCAGGGAAGTAGGGGATACTCACGTTCCCGAAGGTGGGGAGCCCCGAGGAGCCCAGCCACTTCCGCAGGGCCTGTGAGAGGGCCCCGTGGTCCCGCTCGGCCTGAAGCACGTGGGCTTCCAGGAAGGAGACGTGGTGCCCGACCATCTTGACAAAGGCCTGGTGGGAGAGGGGAAAGCAGTGATGCCACATCTGCGCAGAATGGGGTGTGTTCCTGGCTGCCTCCCTCTCACCTGGCCCCATGGGCTCCGGGAGAGTTCAGGCAGCACCTGCCCAGCTGGGGGCACCTTCAGAAACCCAGACAGTAACAGTGACACCTCCCCCTTGGAGGCCTGGCCTGGCCGAGCCTCCACTCGTGTCCTCTCACCTTCTAGTGACCCTCTGTTTAGCCTCTATTTTACAGAGGAGGTAAACTGATGCTCAGAGAGGTTGGACCACCTGCCCAAAGTCACACAGCCAGGAAGTGGCAGAGAGGGGACTTAGGCTGCACAGCCTTCTTTATGAAAAATGGAGTTTTTAGAAATCGTTCACTTTAATATTTGATGGACATTGGAGGCGTCTCAAACTCAGAAGCTGCCAAGGGGCAGGCAGGTGACAAGCGGGTGAAGTAGGATGAGTGCGGACAGGGTGAACTGGAATGCTGGGTCCCGGCCCCCAAGGGTCACTCAGCTCTGGGTCTCTACTGCAGAACCTCCAATTTCAAAAGAAAAAAGAAAAGAAAAGAGAATGCTGGGGTCAGATTCTCTGGACTAGAATCCAGGTTCTATCACTTACTAGTTGTGTGCCTTTCGACAAGTTACTTCATTTCTATTATACTCAATTTTCTTATCTGTAAAATGGGAATAATAATAATACCAACCTTGTTCTGCAGTTAAGTGCTTAGGGTATATTAAGAGCTCAATTAATATCAGATAACATCATTTAAAAAGAAAAAAAAAAGGACATTCAGATTTTATGAAAAGTGTCCAGTTTTTAAAAACGTTAGCAATAATTTCACAATTTAAAAAAGTACTGTGCAGGCCCGGTGAAACTCATTTGTAACTTCTGGTGTGCCTGTGTGTTGTGTGCATGTGTGTTTCCGTGGGTACCTATGTTTGTGTGTTGTGTGCATGTGTTTGTGTGTGTTGTGTGTATGTTTGCATGTGTGTCCATATGTTGTGTGCATGTGTCTGTGTGGTGTGTACACGTGCATGTGTTTGTACGTGCACTGCACGTACACCCGGGAAGGCCGCCAAAGGTGGCGGCTCCGGTGCCATTTCAGAAAAGCCCCCCTCTGCGGACCTCCCTGTTCCAATATTAAAATGCAAGAGATTTTCTTGCACCAGGAAGAGGCAGGAGACCCCCTCAGTGCTGGGCCCCACGAGGGAGCCTCCCTTCACTGGATGGAAAGCCCCGGTCAGCCCATCCTGCAAGGCCCACCACCACCCAGCCCTGCCTCTCCCCGTGTCCCACACACCAGCCACACAGGCTGCCCTTTTGTTCCTTGAAAACGCCAGTCCTCACCCTCCACAGGGCCTTTGCACCAGCTCTCTCCAGACTGGCAGCACTTCTCTGTTCTCGATGGGGTGAACCCTGCTTGTCTCTCAGGCCCTGGATCCACTGTCCCCCGACAGAGAGGCCTTCCGCAACCACCTAATCTAACATGCCCCACGTCACTGCAGAGCCACCCCGTTTCCCCGTCTTCCTAGCTCTCTTCTCCCTCTGAACTTCCTGTCTGCTTGTTCATGGTCCATCTCCCTCCAGATGTGAGTTCTGGAAGAGCAGATGCTGAGTCAGTGTTGTTCACAAGGCCACAGCCAGGGCCTGGTCAGCTGGAAGGGGCTCAGCTGGATGGTGGAGGCATGAATGCACACAAGCATGAATGAATGAATGAGTGTGCACGCACGAATGAATGTATGCATGGATGAATGCATGCACGCATGGATGAATCCACACGTGCACGTACGAATCAACGCACACACAGGAATGAATACATGCAAGCATGAATGAATGAATGAATGCACACACGAATGCATGTATGCACCACGAATGCACACATGCATGGATGAATCAATGCACACACAGGAATGAATACATGCACGCATGCATGCATGACTGCATCTTTAGCAAAAAGACATTGGATGAACACAAGATGGTGGCACTGTTGTGCTGCCGCCGCCCTGTGGTTCTGGCAGGGGCAGAGCTGAAAGGCTCTGAATAAGCCACATCAAGTGCGTGCGTGCGTGCGTGCGTGCGTGTGTGTGTGTGTGTGTGTGTGTGTGTGTGTGTTTGGGGGGGCGGTGGGACAAGGAGCCACAGGCTGGGAAGCTTCCCCTGGCCTTGCTGGGCCTGCACATCTGGTTGTAAGACACAAAAGAAAGTTCTACAGTCCCTCCTCCAGCCGATTCCAATTTTACGCTCCCTGCGTTAATACCGTTAATACCGATGTGGCGGGGAGTATGAGGGATGCTGAGGAATGTGCGCTCACGAGGTCGGAACCGCCTCCGAAGTGCCTGCCAGAGAGGGCAGCCCGGCCAAGCCGCAGCCAGGGAGAGGCCGAAACCTGGCCAGGAAAGCTGATGCGGGGAAACTGGAAAGACGCGGACACGCATCCACACAGAGAGGGGAGGAGAGAGGACAGAAGGGGGGTGGCCGCTAACCGGGACCACCCCTGGGGCTATAGGCGGCTTCTATGCAACTTTCTCTGCAATGAAAATGAACCACTTTTATTATCAGAAGGGAGGGAAGGAAGGAGGGAAGGAAAGAAGGAAAGTGGGGGAGGGATGAGAGAGAAGGGAAAGTCACATTGTTTTCAAATTTACTTGTGAGTCCTGAATGATGTATCTGAATCCTTGTGGCAAAGGCCCCCAGCTTCAGAGCAGGGCCCAGTCCAGAAAGGGTGCCAACGCCAGCACTGACTTTTGCAATCCCAGCTCCACCACTTCCTAGCTGTGTGACCTTGGGTAAATAACTTTGCCTTTCTGTGCCTCAGCCACTTTCTCTACAAAATAGGACTAATAATGGGACCTTCCTCCTGGGCCTGCTGTGAGGGTGAAGCAAGTTGTTTCAACTAAAGCACTTAAGAGTCCCTGGCTCATAGCAGGTGCTCGGTAAATGTTAGTTTTTTCTGGCCTCAAAGGTCACCCCCATGGTTCCCAAGCCTCCCCTCTCATGGGTCACACTGATTTGAGAGCTGAGTGGTCTCGGGCTCCCTGGAACCCCCTGACATGTTAAGCCCTGGAGCCCCCAGTCGGCTGGGCCGAGTGATGAGCAGGCATCCCAGATTCTGGCTCTCAGCCTGTGGGCAATGGCCACCACCATAGTGATAGCCTGTCCTCAGCGAGCATCTACAAGATGCCAGGTGCTGGACTAACACCTTCACGATGACATAGTCACAATTTGCCGAGGAGGAAACTGATGCTGAGAGGGTGAGTGAGTTAACCAAGGGGCAGATCTGGGGCCCAGGTGGTCTGGCTCTGGAATCCATCCGCCTCAGATTGGGGTCTGATCGGGTCCTAAGTTTTATTGTTCTCATGTCACATGCAGCTTAGTGGGAAATACATATTCTCCCATTTGCCTTGAAATCCATGACCCTCTTGGACTAACTTTTTCTTCCTTTTTTTTTTTTTTGCGGTACGCGGGCCTCTCACTGTTGTGGCCTCTCCTGTTGCGGAGCACAGGCTCCGGTCGCGCAGGCTCAGCGGCCGTGGCTCACGGGCCCAGCCGCTCCGCGGCATGTGGGATCTTCCCGGACCGGGGCACGAACCCGCGTCCCCTGCATCGGCAGGCGGACTCTCAACCACTGCGCCACCAGGGAAGCCCTCTTCCTTTTAATGGAGACCCAGTTACAGAGAAATATCTCTAGTCTAAGGAAAGCAGCAGTCCCGGGGGTTGACAAGAGGCAAATGCCACTTAGTTAGCCTCAGTGTTGGGGAGACTCTAGGGCAGAGTGGGGACTGTGGCAGCTGAGAGATTCACACCCCACTGAAGGGGAGAGTTGCTTCTCAGCTCCAGCTCGTCCCAGAAAGTAAGCGGGGGTGGCTTGGGGTTGGTCTTCTAATACCTGACTGCCCAGTACAGTCCTGGATCCTGCTGGCATCTGAGTTTGCAATCTCCATCTAAAGCTTACAGTAACTGCTGGTGGGAGAGTAAAATGGTGTCAACACTTTGGAAACTGGTCTTGGCAGTTCCTAGAAAGACTTACCACATGACCCAGCAATTCCAGTCCTAGGTATTTACCCAAGAGAAATGAAAATGTATAGCCACGCAAAAACCTGAACATGAATGTTCATAGCAGCATTATTCATAATAGCCCCAAAGTAGAAACAACCCAAGGACCCATCAACTGATGAATGGATAAACAAAATGTGGTATAGCCATCCCTACAATGGAATACTATTCATTCATAAAACGGAATGAAGTTCTGACACATGTTCCAACCTGCATGAACCTTGAAAGCATTGTGCAAAGTAAAATAAGACAGACACCATAGGCCACATATGATGTGAAATGTTCCAGAGGCAAATCCATAGACTCAGAGTAGATGAGTGGTGGCCAGGGGCCAGGAGTGGGGAATGACTGCTAACCAACGAGCCACGCTGTGTCTTCAGTGGCTTCCTATTCCTCAGGAAAAAGGCCACCATGCTGACCTTGGAGTGGAAGGCCTAGACAACGGGCCGCCTGCTGCCTAATTTCTCCAGCCCCGCTCAGGTCATGACCTTCCTCATCCCTGTAGCCTGGCCCTCCCCGGATCCTTCCAGTGTCCCCGGCTCCTTCCTGCCCCAGAGCGCAGATGCCCCCCGCCTCTGAGCCTCTGCCCGAGCTGTGCCCTCACGCACCCAGCACAGCTCCTTCCACTCACCCTCCGGGGGCCCAGAAGGTTCCATTCCTTGCTCGCGACTTCCCTCCAGAGCACTCGACTCCCTCTAGGTCACCCTTGGTGAATGTGGTCAGCAGAATCATGGGCCCCCAAAATATCCCATCCTCATTCCCAGAACCTGTGGCCAAAGGGACTTGGCAGGTGTGAATAAGGATCTTGAGCTGGGGAGACTGTCCTGGATTTTCCGGGTAATCACAGGCATCCTTATAAGATGGAAGCAGGAGAGTCAGAGGAGGACAGAGCCTGGAAGATGCTACGCTGTGGGCTTTGAAGGTGGAGGACAGCACCATGAGCTGAGCGACGCAGGCAGCCTCCAGACACTGGAAAAGGCCAGGACGTGAACTCTCCCCCAGAGCCTCTAGAAGGAACCAGCCCTGCTGACTCCTGCTGACACATTTTGGACTTCTGACCTCAAGAGCTGTAAGATGCTAAATACATGTTGTTTTAAGCCACTATGTTTGTGATAACTTGTAACAGCAGCCCCGGGAAATGCTATGGTCATGCTTTGTTGCTGTGTTTCTCCTGGCTGGAACGTACCCTTGGACTCTGTCTTTCTCACTGTGAGAGCCCTGCAGCGGCGCATAGTAGGTCCTCAGTAAATGCTAGCGGACTGAATACTAAGGAAAAAATTGGGCTTGAGAGTTGGGCCAGCCCAAGCAAGGCAAGAACCAGGGCTACAAATCTTCACATTTTCTTTCCTCTTTCAAACATGTGGAATAAAATTCAGATCGATCAGCTATTCCAAGGGCAAAGTTTTAATTATATTCCTGCCTCATTCTCTGCTGACAAGAATGTTAATTCTCTGTTAACTCTAGGGCCCACTGCCAGGCTCCTTTCCTCCACAGCTCAGAGGGGCACACATTCCCTTGGTCTAGGTGACAGCTATTAAATTGCAGGCTCCTCCAGCCTCCCGGTCCTTCACTGTGCAAGAAGCCAGGAGCCCAAGCCAAGGGCCCCAGTTTGAGTAAGAGCTTGGGCTCCAGAGGATGTAAACTGAAGTCCCAGCTTCACAGAATTAGCTGTGTGACCCCGGAGAAGTGACTTACCCTCTCAGAACTCGTGTTCCTCCTCTAGGAGATGGGACTGTGAGGATACTGACGTTGCAGTGCAGCCAAGAGGAAATGAGATACCATGCACCTTAGCCTGGTGCCCACACAGGTAAAAGGCGGGTGAAATAAGTCAGCATTGAGGCAATAGGGCATGGTGCAGACTGTGGTGAAATGCAGAACACATGTCTCGTCTGAGGGGCGGCTGCCACCAGCTCTACCAGAATATAGCCTAGGTGTTGGAAATGTTCTATTTCTCAGTTTGGGTCATCTTCACATGGGAGTTTATATGTGTAAAAATTCACGGAATTGTACACTTACTATGTGTGCACTTTATGTATTTATACCTTAAAAAATAAACAGAATAAAGTATTTAAAGAAGGGTGGGTCTAGGGTTATGAAAGCTTCTGAATTTCCAAAAGCAGCTGAAAATTCAGATTTTTATATAAAGTACCCTGATTTTTAAATGGGTACTTTATATAAATTCATATGTGTCATATTTTAGAAAGACTGTGTAGGCCCCTTTTTGGCTACCACCCCACTCCACTGGGTCTAAGGCCTGACACTATCAAGGCCAGATCAGCATCTTGGAAGAGACAACGAAAGAGCCAGAACAAGTCCGTGGAGCTCACAAAGAAAGCTCATTATCCTGGACTCACCTCCAGCTGGTCCACTTTGGTGTAGATGCCACGCATTTCCATCACCTTGGCCTTAAGGAGGGGGATGTTTTCCTCCAAGATCTGTGAGGTATCGCTCCTGATCTGCAGGGAACAAGACAGCTCATCAGGCTCTCTGTCCCAGCCCTGCGTCCTCCTGCCTGCCCTGGGGGTGGCCAGGCTCTTCAGAGACCTCGCTGATGGCCGAGACACCGAATGCCATCCTGCCCAGGGACAGGCCCAGGAACGACCCATAGTCCCAGGTGGGGACCAACCTCACTGCCTCTCGGCACCCAGACCCAACCAGGTATTATTTACTGAACTGCAAATTAATTGTTCCCCCTGAACAAACACCCAACACCACCAGCTCCAAACTAAGTATCTTTATATTGTAAACCAGTGAACTGGACCAAATGGAAAGAATCAAAATCTCTTCTCTAAACTGAAGTCGAGGTAGATCAAGTTTTTGTTACACTGGAACTAATAATATCAATGAAAAGAGTTAATAATAATCATTAACATTAATAATGAGTCTCATCATCATGCTGCTTCCTACACGTAGCCACTGTGCTAAGCATTTCCTGCGCATCATGCATCTCATTTAATTTCAAGATTCTTCTGCTTGGAAGGACCCCAAAAGCGACTGAGAACTTTGGGAAGCCACATCTTTCCCTTGATCACTGAGATCGGACACTTAAGCCTCCATTTTCCTTCAGAGCCAAAAGGACCAAGCCTAACCCTTAAGTGTGTGTGTGTGTGTGTGTGTGTGTGTGTGTGTGTGTGTGTGTGAGAGAGAGAGAGAGAGAGAGAGAGAGATTCCATTTCCACGTTACCATGTCCTGGCCACACAGAGAGGCAGAATACATACCACTCTCAGATTCTAGGGAGCATGTGGATCCCCTGGACAGAAGTCTGTTAATGCTGACTTGAAGGCTCCTCCAAGTCTGGTCTAGCTTGCGTGGGGTTGGCGGGCAATCTGTTTTCAGCCAAGCTCCAAGGCTGTGCTGGAGCGGCGGCCCGGGGACAGTCAGAGAAACACCAGTGGGCTACTAGGACTCAGACTGGAGTTTGAATTTAGCTCTACCCACCACGAGCTGTGTGACCTCGGGCAAGTCACTGCACCTCTCTGAGCCCTCCTTTGCTTGTCTGGACAGGGAAGCAATCAAGACAGTCCTTGCTTCCTTGGAATGCAGTGAGGATAGAACGTTTAGCAGACTGTTTGGCATGGCATGTGCGGGAAGCTTCTGACACGGTCCTCAACAAGCCCCACCTCCTGGTGTTCACGTTCTTGTGTGATCCCCTCCCCAAGACCATTGCCTGGATCTAGAGACTGGCTTCTAATGAAGAGGAGTCAGCCAACGTGAGACATGGCCCTCCTGAGACTAGAAGACTGTCACTCCATCTTGCTGGTGGTCTCTCCCACCGCCTGGTTCATGCATGCTTCCCCCCACCCCCTCTTCCTTCTCACTTGCCCTCTCCTGCCAGCTGTGAAGAAGCAAGTTGCCGTGATGGAGAAGCCTGCCTCTGGCCAGTGGCCAGTGAGGAAGCGAGGGCCTCAGTTCAATGATCATGAGGAACTGGATCCTGCCCAGAAACACTGACTTTGCCTGGAGGCAATCCTGCCGCAGTCGAGCACTGAGATGACAACAGTCCTGGCCAACATCTCGATGGCAGCCTGTGAGAGACCCTGACCTACAGGACCCAGCTAGGCTGTATGAGAGTCCTGACCCACAGACACTAGCACATAATAAAGATCATTGCTTAAGTCACTAAGTATGGGGGGGGGTAATTTGTTATGCAGCAATAGCTAACTAATACAAGGTGACAACTCAGCAAAAAATTTTAATTTTAAAAATGTTTTTGAAAACTATACCCATTTTCCCTCCTCTTTCTGCCTAAGTATATGAGACCTCTGGTTCTCCTGCCTTTCCACGTTACCATGTCCTGGCCACACAGAGAGGCAGAATACATACCACTCTCAGATTCTAGGGAGCATGTGGATCCCCTGGACAGAAGTCTGTTAATGCTGACTTGAAGGCTCCTCCAAGTCTGGTCTAGCTTGCGTGGGGTTGGCGGGCAATCTGTTTTCAGCCAAGCTCCAAGGCTGTGCTGGAGCGGCGGCCCGGGGACAGTCAGAGAAACACCAGTGGGCTACTAGGACTCAGACTGGAGTTTGAATTTAGCTCTACCCACCACGAGCTGTGTGACCTCGGGCAAGTCACTGCACCTCTCTGAGCCCTCCTTTGCTTGTCTGGACAGGGAAGCAATCAAGACAGTCCTTGCTTCCTTGGAATGCAGTGAGGATAGAACGTTTAGCAGACTGTTTGGCATGGCATGTGCGGGAAGCTTCTGACACGGTCCTCAACAAGCCCCACCTCCTGGTGTTCACGTTCTTGTGTGATCCCCTCCCCAAGACCATTGCCTGGATCTAGAGACTGGCTTCTAATGAAGAGGAGTCAGCCAACGTGAGACATGGCCCTCCTGAGACTAGAAGACTGTCACTCCATCTTGCTGGTGGTCTCTCCCACCGCCTGGTTCATGCATGCTTCCCCCCACCCCCTCTTCCTTCTCACTTGCCCTCTCCTGCCAGCTGTGAAGAAGCAAGTTGCCGTGATGGAGAAGCCTGCCTCTGGCCAGTGGCCAGTGAGGAAGCGAGGGCCTCAGTTCAATGATCATGAGGAACTGGATCCTGCCCAGAAACACTGACTTTGCCTGGAGGCAATCCTGCCGCAGTCGAGCACTGAGATGACAACAGTCCTGGCCAACATCTCGATGGCAGCCTGTGAGAGACCCTGACCTACAGGACCCAGCTAGGCTGTATGAGAGTCCTGACCCACAGACACTAGCACATAATAAAGATCATTGCTTAAGTCACTAAGTATGGGGGGGGGTAATTTGTTATGCAGCAATAGCTAACTAATACAAGGTGACAACTCAGCAAAAAATTTTAATTTTAAAAATGTTTTTGAAAACTATACCCATTTTCCCTCCTCTTTCTGCCTAAGTATATGAGACCTCTGGTTCTCCTGCCATTCTGCTCCCATCACTGTTCAGGATGACACTTCCCTCCTTGCCCTGGGTAGCCATTCCATCACCTGCATGTCTAAAACCAAACCCTTCCTTCCTGGTCCCCCTCCTCTGGTCAGGGCACTGCCATCTCCCTGGGCACCTGGCTCCAAGCCCACTGTCCTGAGGCACACTCCTTTCCCATGCCCTGACCCCTTGGGGCCAAAAAGCAGCACTAGGAGGGTGGCATCTGGCACCAGGCTGCCTGGCCTCAGTCTCTGCCCTGACCTCTCTGTGCCTCGGTTTCCTCATCTGTAAAGTGGGGATCAGACTAGTGCTTCTCTCGAAAGGATGCTTTAGGGATTATACAAGATCGTCCTTGTCTGCATGTGGCCCACATATGTGGCTCATTTGGCCCACAAAGTGTTTTCGTTTTTAAATTTGACTTAATTTCCAAATTTAAAACTCAAGTGGGGCTCCAAGGAGAAATGGCTGATTCTAGGGTTGGGGCAGGGAACATATAAAAGCCTGGAGCATCTCATAGTGCCAGAAAGTAAGAAAGAGTTAAAAAAAAAAAAAAAGTGAAGGATGGGGCAGGTCAAAGGAACGCAAGTGCCAACCTGAAAGAGCCAAATGGCCCAAACTGGGACAATTTGAGCAACAAAATAATGTAACATTGGACGATATCCCCAACTATAAGATAAATACACACGAATGTGACAGGAACAAGGCACTGAACGGGTCGCGGAAAGGGGGATGTGGTGATGCTACCGCGGAACCAGGCCACCAGCCCAGTGATGCCGTGTGGGTATCACGTGCCCCTCATGTGATGTGATGAGAAGGCGCCTCAGCTCTGCGGATTCTCTCCAGAAACTCACAACGCCATCTAAGCACAAGAAAACATCAGACAAACCCAAACTGAGGGGCCTTCTACAAAATACCAAATACCCCTCACAACTGCCAAAGTCATGGAAAGTCGGGAGAGAATGAAATTGTCACGGACTAAAGGGGCCTAAGGAGACCTGACAATTTAAGGCAATGTGGTGTCTTCGATGGATCCTGGAACAGAAGGAGGACATTAACGGGAAGCTGGGGAATCACAACCAAGTGTGACGTTCAGTGAGTAGCCAAGGATCTGTGTTGGTTCCTTGGTTTTGACAAAGGTACCGAGGTGAGGTTAACAGTGGGGGAAACTAGATGAGGGGGGCGTGGGAACTCTTTGCAATTTTTCCGTAAATCTAAAACTATTCCAAAATAAAATACACAGATATGGCTTTAAAATATTCAACAGATTAAGTGCGGATTTATAACTTCTCTTAAAAGTCAGCAGCTTTGGCGACACTGGGCCCACGACTCCCCAGGCACCGCAGGCTGGGCTGAGTAGCAACTGCTCCCTCCGAATGGCACACACGCGCGCTCCCAGTTTCTGCAGTGGCCACCCATCCCTAGAGCCTCGCCCCAAGCCCCTGACTCCCTCCATATCCTGCCTGGCTCCTGCAGGCGCCTGCATTTGTTAGCTGGGATAGGGAAAAGGGCTCGATATCCTCCCTTGTTTCCCCCAGGCCAAATTTCTAGAGAGAAGCCCATCCCTCGACAAGGCTAAACTCGGGAGAAATTGCCATGATGCGATGAAGAACAGAAACTCATGACAAGGTCAGAGCACAGGGAATCAAAGGCAGATCTTTTCTTTCTGTTAATTTCTAAAGAAACAAGCAGGGGAGAACACGTGAGAATCAGGAGGGACTGGTCTCAGCAACCCACGGGGGTGAAGGGAACACGGCAGAGATGAGATTCTGGAACTCTGCCCACCTCCCTTCAGATCCTCAGGAACTGGAGGGCCAGAGGGTCTGCGGGCCGAGCAGGAAGGCCCCTCTCTGCAGAGGCTCCTCCACTGGCTGAGACTGAGGGCAGAGGGAACTCTCTACGCCTGCCCAGAAGGCATCCTGCAGGTCCTTGGGGGGAAAGTAAAGGGTAGTCCTTGGAGTCTGAGACACCCCCAAACCTTCCTCTTAGCTCCCCCAAGAGCTGGGAACCAAGAGACAAAAACCAGGGTATTTAACATGGGCTGGGTGAGGGGGGGCAGGGTACCGAAACCCAGG